CCAGATATTCAGGCTGCACCTGGGGAACACGCCACACAACCTGACAGAGGCCAACATCCACGAGTTGGCCAGGAAGACGGACGGCTACTCGGGAGCCGACATCAGCGTCATCGTGCGTGACGCCCTCATGCAGCCTGTCCGCAAAGTGCAGTCGGCCACACACTTCAAGAAGGTGAGAGCAGGCGTGCGGGACCTGCTGCTCCCCAAGGGCTGCGGCACCTGAGTCTGGGGCCGCTGGCCTGCAAGGGAGGGGGGCTCCATGGCCACCCGAGTGTGCCCTTGCCCCTCCTGGTGAGATCCTTCCTGAGTCCCCCAGGCCAGCCCCAGAGGGCCCATGTCAGAGGGGGCCCCCGGGGGCGGTTGGAGAGCCAGCCCTGGCATCTGCCCTCTCAGTGCACTTCCTCTCTGGCATGTGGCAGGTGCGAGGCCCATCGCGAACCAATCCCGGCATAACTATAGATGACCTCCTGACGCCATGCTCGCCGGGGGACCCCGGAGCCATTGAGATGACTTGGATGGAGGTGCCTAGTGAGAAGCTGCTGGAGCCAGTGATCTGCATGGTAAGTAGTTTGTTAGGGACAGACACGCTGGGCCGGGTAAGTAGTTCGTTAGGGACAGACACGCTGGGCCGGAGGGTGAGCGACTGTCACTTGGCCAGTGACACAAGTCAGTGTGCAACACCCCTGATGCCAGCAGAGCCCCAGCTGGTGAGGACAGGCTCACTCTGCCCTCCCACTTTCCCACTGGGGCTGGGGGAAGAGGTGCTATCCCAGTCAAAGCCACTGTCCCAGAGTAGCTGGATGTTCCTGGTGAAATGATCAGCATAAAAGATTTACCTTGTGATCATTAGACTTCAGAGTTAACCCGTGTAGCTGAAAGGGTCGGGGCATCCCTGAGCGATTGCTTGTTCCTTCTGCCTGCAGCTGTCCCATCTGGAATGTGTGGCTCACAGCTCTGAGTGCAAGAGCTCCAGGCCTTTCTCCCTGACCGTTCTATTGTGTCATGTGCTGGAGGGGGGAGGGCAGGGGAACCCACAGAGCAGACATGGGCGCCTCGGGATTTATGCCTGCTGGAAAAGGAAAGTTTCCTTCTCCACCTGTGATCCCTGGGCTCTTAGCCCTCCCCGAGCACCCAGGGAGATCAGTAAGCATGGCCATTCCAGGGGACAGACTGGAGAATGCACGGAGCTGGAGGTCACACCAGTGACCAGGAGCAGTGTCAAACCTGAGTCCCGGCTCCTAGGCCTCTGTTCCATGCACCTGCCCTGGGGGACCCTGTAGGGAGATGCCTGTCGTTCAGGACAGAGAGGCACTAGCTACACTGCCTTTGCTAGGGCTGGGGCTGGGGTGTTTAGACCTGGGATTCTCCCCCGCAACCAGAAACTCGAGTAGGATTTCCGAGGGCGTCAAGGTAAAAGCGACGCAGACTCTGATGTTGCACTTTGGCCTCAGCTGCCCTCTCCCCTTGTTTGCAGTCAGATATGCTGCGCTCGCTGGCCACCACCCGCCCCACTGTGAATGCAGAGGACCTCCTGAAGGTGAAGAAATTCACAGACGACTTTGGACAGGAAGGTTAAAAGCTTCTGCCGTGGGGCGGGCGGGGGTGGCAGGGCGGGGCTGGCAGTGGCAGCGTGTATGCTTGCAAAGCCCTAGTGCTGGCAGGTGGACGGTGCCAAGCGGGTGCTAATGTTCAGCTCCCTACTAAACCCACCTGTCTGTGGGCCCCCAGCTGGGAGTTGCACAGCAGCACGGCCCCTGGCAGGCCTGTGGAAGGGGCTGAGCACAGCCCAGGGGCCTGCCCTGCCTCCCCCAGGGGCCCTGACACCCCTGCGTGCTTTTTTTTTTTTTTAATTTTTTTAAATTAATGCTGCTTGTTTTGTCTTGTTTATATACAAATAAAAACGATCCAAAAGCTTCGCCCGCCGAAACGGGACTTTCCTGGGGTGGCTGAGCCCACACAGCGCTGCCCTGATCGCATGGGGCCAGCCGGCAGGGTGTAACCCTCATCTGGGCTAGGCCCCATGTGCCAGGCTCTGCAGGTCTGGCTCCCCACGCTGGAGCTGTGCTGTGAGAC